AAAAAAACAGGTACACGAAAGGCTGCATTAATAGGCGGAGGGAGTGAAAACCCCGGAAAAGCCTTGGAAACAAGTCACACAAACACAGGGACAAAACAACAGTTGAAGAATGAATATACCCATTCTCCTGTGGACCCAAAGAGATGGGAGATGAGGTGGGTGGAAGGCGCGAAGAACTCCACGTGGCTCCTTTATGCGTTATGCTATAAGGTCGCCTATCGACGCCGTCAAAACGCCTTCGTCCTCCGCACACCTCTTCAGTCCTGGGTCCGAGGTAACGAAGAAGACCTTTTCGCTGACGTTCCCCTTCACGAACAGTGCGTAGCTTACATAGCGCCGGACGTCGTTCAAGTCATTGCCCAAGTTGTTTTTCGCGAAAAAGCGTCGATCCTCGTTCACTCCCTTTTGCTGGAGCAACAGCCAATCCTTTTCCTTGTTTCGCGACAGAAACTGGAGTAGGTCACGGAAGCGTTTTGCCGTTGCGGTAGCTTCGTCCGAATTTCCAAGACTAAGAGTCTGGGTTGCCTTCTTGTTCTTGTCGTCCAGTCGATGTATCACCAACTCCGGTATGAGGATCCGGTTGCGGCGCAGGGCACCCGTCAAAGGCTCTATAAGGCCCTGACTGTTTGCCTCAAGAAGGGACTGAAGGTCAAAGACAAGATATGAACTGAGTATGTGACTCTCATTACCACGCTCCTGTGTCATAGTAGGCGCAACAACTGATTCTCTCTTGAAGGTCCCAATAGGCAGCCTTCGGAGGCGCGTGAGACGGAGGTCGGTTCCCATTTTCAGCGTAGCTTGCATCACAGAGAATAGGAAAAGGAAAGGAAAGGGAAAGCAACACATGTCTCCGCACGGCGAGCAGACATTGAAGGAAGAACCAGTAGGAATAAGAAAAGTATTGGCAAAAACAAAAACAAAAAAACTTCAAGCGTATGAATAATGGGGCCCCCACTTGCTGCTTTTCTTCCTTTTTTTTTCTTGTTTGGTGTGTGGGCTCCTTCTGTGAGGTGTGGCGTCGTTGCTTGCTTGTTTGCTTGCGGCTTTGCTTTCACCCCCCCCAGGACCCCCTCCTCTCTCCGTCGCCAAGACCACAGCTGCACATCGGACAAGAAAACGGAAAGGAGAGAAGCATATTTTTGTACATCTATTTCAAATATCACTGTTTTTTCTTCGGCTACATAACAACCAATAGCAGTGTCTGGAGTGTTTCTGCTCACTCTGTCACTTCCTTCTTTTTCTTTTTGGTTCCGCCTTCCTTCTTTTCGGGTGCGGGTAGGTCCACAGGGGGGTTCATGCGGCGCAGGTGGAGAGGTAAGCGCAGAGAAAACTCCTTCATTAGCGCCTGCTCTTCTGCGCTCGGCGGTTTAGCGTGGGCAACGGCGAGGAGGAAGTCCGTTGCCTTGAGTGGCCTCTGCGCAAGACGTCGAAGGCGCCGGGTGTGCAGCACCTCACCCACGATGCGGCGAATCTCCCCAGAGGCGAGTCCATCCATGAGAAGGGCCAACTCGTGGTAATCTTCTGCCTTTAATGCGTTGACGTCCGCAGTGTGCTGCGCAACCCACTTCTGTAGCAGAATGACACGTGAGGCGTAATCTGGATTGGCGCAGTGAAGCATATGCGCAAAGTTGGTCACCATCGCGTTGAATTCCGCCTCCCACGGCGCACATGAGGAGCCAATGACCAGCACACGATCGGTGGGTGCAAGGGCGGCAATGCCCTTGAGGATCTCTTTTTTCATTTTCTTTCCTCGTGCCATGAGGGGATCCTTCGGCCCCTTCTTCCTTTTCCGCAAAAACAGTTTTTCAACCTTGTCAATGTAAATAACAGACGGGGCCAACACCTTGGCGAGGTGAAACACCATCTGAATAATGCCCACCAGACCCGTATTCGTCTCAAAATTTGCTGGAGAGAGGTTGAAGAGGTTGGCTCCGCTATGGTTGCACACAGCATGCACCAACTGCGTCTTGCCACTACCAGCAAAGCCGTAAAGGAGAAGGGTCTTGCAAGCCGGCGCCAAGTCATGAATAACTTGTGAGCCAAGCGGCAGGATGGCGTACTCTGCTATGCACTGGCGCACCTGCGCCGCAGAAGGCTCGCTGAGCCAAGAGGATTGTTGTAGGAACTTGTCAAAAAGCTTCTGGAAGGCGTCCTTCTTCATCTTCATTGCCTGCTCAACGTTGGCGTCCCAGTTGTTTAGAATACGCTGCCACTTCTTTTTAAGCTCCTCATCTGGCTTCTGCGTACGCAGCAGCACATCAAGCGGTGATCCATGCACAGTCGCACAACCCAGATAATTTTCCAGTCGAACATCAGGATCCGTCAACTGAAGGACATTCTGGTACACCGCACTGTTCGTAAATGTCTCGATATCGACCCCTTTTGTCGGATCCTTCAGTTTTGGTGCCCGCGGCTTTTTCGGTCCCTTCTTCTTTCCACCCTTCTTTTTCTTGCCGCCACGCCGCTCCATCTCGAGACGCCGTTTTAGGTTCTCCACCTCAATCATGATAAGCTCATCGACGACGCGCCGCACATCCTCTAATATGCCACGCGGTCCCTCCAACAGTCGATGGCGAAGAAGCCCCTCATCGGCTGCCTGGTCAAGATCCAAATCCTTGAGGTACGACTGCTCAAAACGCGCCTTCCAAACGGCCTGGTAACGCTCATCTGCCGCCTTCATACTATCCCACAAGCTACTCGGCGGCATCGCCGGAACGTTTTCCTCTTCCTCGCCACGGCGTCGTACAGTGCTGCCCGCCTTTCGTGACGGCGTCCGAGGGACCACAGTGCCGGCCACGGATGACCGCGCGGCCACGGAACCCACGCGGCTAAGCGCATTCGTTCCATCAGGTGGAACCACCCCGGAAAAGGCAGCAGGAGAGCCAGAAGCAGTTCCAGCAGCGGCAACAGTTCCTCCTGCAGCCGCACTGGCGGTATTGTCATACATCTCCAAATACTTGCGACTGCCACCTTCCTCGGGCGTTGGAAAGGTGAGCGGGGTGTCGTCCTTACTCTCCATCCGTGCATAGGCCATGCGCGTGAGGACCTCGTTCAACATCTCCTCCATCGTCCGTGGTCCTTCCTCTGCCTTAAGACGCGTCTCCAACTCGGCCTCCTTCTGGCGATATCTCGCCTCATTCATGCGCTGACGAGCTTTGCGTTCTTCCAGACGAACTTCAGCCGCTACACGCTCCGCGTCACTAAGGGTGGCTGCTGTGGGGCGCATGCCGAGTAGCTCCAGCTCCTTCTTGTGACCGTCAAACACATGCTTTCGCGCAAGATAGGCCTGAACCGCCTTCTGCACAACCAACGCCGCTCGCTCTTTCCCCGCGGCGTAACTATACTCATTGGCGTGTTCCAAGGCGTGCTTCTGCTGTAGATAGATTGCCATCTGAAATTTGGCCCGTTGCCGTGCCTGACGTCCACGTTCATTCACCTGCAAAAGTTCCACCGCGTCATCCACAGTCATTACTTTGGAGTTCATGCTGCTGCTGGGTTTAGATTCACGATCCTTCTTGGTTCCCCCAGCGAGAGCCTTGGAAATAGGCGCATCCACCTCCGTCTCCCTGTAGTGCGCCTGCAGTGCCGCGATCTGTCGACGTCGTTCCTGCAGCTCCGACGCGGCATCCTCGACAAAGTAACGCGGAATTGGCACCTCGAGATCGTCCGGAATCATCTTCGTGTCAAGCATGGCATCGTCCAGCTTCACAAACTCTCCACAGTTCATGGTGAGGAGGTTTCGCAGCTCCAGCATGCGGCCCAAGCAGGTGTCGAGCAGCGTGCGAACATCGTAGCGCTTTTGTGGCTGCAGCTGCGCGTCATGCACGGCGGCGAGGCGCTTCGCTGTGCGCAGGTACTGGATGTAGAGCGAAACCCAATACTGCAGCAGCTGCTCGTAGCGTGCGCGTCCGCCAGCCGCGACGCGCACTTTGGTGACATTCACGTCCTCCCTCCAGATAAAGGCGAGGTCCTCGAGGGCCTGCTGGTAGTAATCCTCGTACGTCAACGAGGACATGTCCCGCGGCCTCCCACCAGCCCAGGCACGCACCCAAAGACTTCCATCAAAGGAGGAGACAAAAAAAAAAAAAACAGAGAGACATAGAAAAAACGAACAGCGTCGGTGAAAGTGAGAGAGGGAGGAAGAACAACAATGAAGGCGGCGCAAACACACACAGAGAAGCAGAATGAAAACCGTCCAGACGGGCGGCGGGAGAACGGGAAGAGAGAGCGAGCGCAGCAAACAGGGTCAGAGCCGCGTCGTTGAAGGCATGAAACAGAAGAACCCCCTCCCACACACAGACACGCACACACACACACAGGCAACTCGCGCATACAACAAAAACAACAAACCGAAGAGGAGGGAAAGGGACGATCCCCAAAGCAGCCAGGGAAAACACTTCACCACGGGAACGCGTGAGGGGAGTGGATGCAATAGCAAGGGAAGAAGAGCACGCAGAAGAGGGGTGGGGGGGGGAAAGAATATGGTCAAGCGCAGTAGGCCCTGGCAACAAAGTAGAGAGCCTTTAACAGGAAGTAAAAAATATATATATATAACAACACAAACACAAAAAAAAAAAGACCTATCCCCGCCCACCCCTATCCAAAAACAATTCCCCAAAGAAATCACCCGCTTCCATATGCATCGCTCAACCGTACACAGGGGCATTTACGCAAGAAAACCGGCACGAATATCACGTAGCAGCCCAAAGGTACGCCTTAATACGTGTTGGAAAGCCAAAACCCCCAAAATTTGATGTCAATACAAACAACAAATAAAACAAAAGCAAACAAAAAAAAACAACAACAACAAAAAAAAAGAAATAAACGACTT